GAAACCGCAGCTTCCAAAATGCACGTCCAGCTTCAAGCCTGCTTTCATGTTGTCTCTCCTTCCTGTGAGGGGGGATCGGTGATTTTTTAGCACAGAGCTGAGATACAAACGCAGGTGTGTTAGAAGTGGTGCCAGCCTCAGGCAGGTTGTTTGGCTGGAGTAATCCCAAGGAATCTGTGGAGGCCAGCACAGGTGGGTGGCCCGCAGCATGGTCCCATTTCACCTGCTGAGATGGGTGCTCTGCTTGCTCCTGGTACCAGTCCCTGGGACCTGGGAGGTGGGAAAGCCTGGAGTGAACAAGGCAAGCCTCTAAATCCCTCACGGGATTTAGAAGTCTCCAAAAACACTCAGGACACCTGGAGGAGAGTATAAAGCACTTGGGTAGAAGCAAGCTGTGGGGTTGGGGTAGAAAAGAAAGCAATGAGAAGCTCCTGTCAAAGCCGTTGTGGATCACTTAAAGGTCTTAATAGTTTCAAGGTTGCTCAGACAGGGGTAAGTCCTGTCGACAGACTACAGAGTAAGTGGTGATGTAGGGGCAGAACATGCAGGACTTTTCAGCCTTAGGTTAGCCACATTCCTGCAGTCCCTGTCACCTGGGTCCCTGCTGGGACAGGGTCCTGGGGACAAACTTGGTTTGTGTCGCATTTGCTGTTCCCTCAGAGAGCAACAGCAGCCTATACTGTTTACTGCAGGTGGATGGTGCTCTGACAATACGGATGTGACAGACGAGCCACCAACAGCAACCAGACAGCTCTGAAAGTAGTTCTGGTTGCTCTACGAGGAGGTTTTGAATGCTGCTCCCCCTCGTTTCCTTCTAGCCCTAGGTAGCAGCTGGCAGCCAACACGAGCGTAGTGCAGAGCTCCAGTGCCCAGGAACTGGACAGAATGTGGTGGGGGAAAGTTTTGTGTGAAACTGCAGGTTTTTCTGCAGTTTGTTGTTGTCTGAGTCCCTGTCTCAGTTTGGGGATGACAGGGGCAAAGGTTTGTATAATGTCTGGTATTTCTGGAGCAGTGAGACAAGTGATTGCTGTCAGCTGAAGGGAAAATACGAAAATCTATGGAAGCTTCTGCCATCATTGTGGCATTTGGGTAGATCCTCTGAAGTCTGTGAGGGACATATTTGTTACCTCTTTCCTTTTGCTGGAGTTAGTGATAAGGCGTATTTCCACTGCTTCATTCTGTTTGTGAAACTCTGAACATCTTAATATCTTTGAAACCTTTACATATTAGTAAAATGTAGTTGAAACTGGAAAATGTGCTCAAAGGGGGTATTAACATTTTGTGACCTTCTCTGCATTGGATAGACAAGATAAAGATGTTTTATTGCTCGGAGCAAAGAGGAATTCTTTCCCTCTCCAAATTTTTCTAACAAAAATAAATATAAATCCCCAAATATCCCACAGATAAACTTCTTGCTTTTGAAATAAATTAATTTTAACTTAAAAAAAAAAAAAAAAAAGGAAAGAAAAAAAAAGAAAAAAGGAAGACCACAACCACTCCCCTGGAAATCCCATGCTGCAAGTGAAACGTTTCATCCCCTAGTGCAGGGGGTGGGGTTGATTCCAGGCAAATCCTGCAGCCCGCAGTTGCAAAAGTGGCTGGGAGCAAAGCTGGCATCTCCCCTTCCTGCCTTCCTTAGCTCCACGCCGTTCAGATATCCCCAGGCCCATGGATCAGGACTGGAGCCAGGGAGGTGTCAGGGAGCTGTTTCTCTGCACTTCACCCCAGCTCAGGACAGGGGCTGGCATGCATCCTGGCACTGGGTTTGGCTGGTGGTGGGGTGACCACCATAAATCCGTAGGAGTCCCTTTGCTAAAACATTCTCCTGCTCATCTCAGCGAGAAGCTGAAGAGGAGAGGGTGGGTGCACGGAAGGGTAACGGGAGAGCAGTGCACAGCTGTTTCTCTGCCCGTTCTTCTTCCCCAGACGTGGAAGCAGTGGCGGCGGAGCAATGCCCCGCATTCTTGCCCACCTACACACATGCTTCCTCCGCATATCCCCACGCCGCCTGCTTACCGCAGGCACTGGAGGCTGGGCTGTAAATCCGCTTGCCAGACAGATCCCTGACACCCTGGCTTCCACCCTCCTCCTGCAGGCCACGTGCCTGCTGCTGGTACATTAGCATCACCCTGGAACCAGCCTGGAGACATCTTAGGAAGGGCAGGGAGCACTGGGGATATCACAAACCCCTTTTCCTCGTGAGCTGACCACCTTTGAGGTCTGCTCCTGCAAGAACTCCATCTCCCAGTGGGTTTTCTCCAAGGCGGTGTGAATGGGGTTGGCCAAATACCACTGAGCCCTGCGAGCCTCCCAGCTATGCACGGGGCACTGGCAATACGCACATGCACACACCCTGTGGCTTGTGTTTCCACTGCGGGCTGTGCTATGCAAGGAGCGCCCTGCAGCTGAGAGGAGTTCAGCGTGGTTTGACTGCAAAGGCTGCTATCTCTGCCCAAATTCATCCCAAATCGCTCTTCATTGGGAACCCACAGCTCAGTGCTGGCTGGAAAATGGGGAAAATGGGAAGCTGGGGCTGGGGGAGAGGGATGAGGATGCTCTTGCAGGTAGTTTTTTCCCACTGTCATCAGTGGGCTCCCATGGCTCCAATTTTTGCAGCTGGGAGAAGCAGAAGGTGGACATTTTCAGCCATTTCAAAACACAGCCAAATCTCTGTGGGAGGCTGAAAATGTCCAGCTTTCTGGGAAAGGCAGCCCAATGCTGTGCGCGCTGCCAAAATGAGCCAAACTGGGAACCATTTGCATTTGCCCAACCCTAGGCATGAGGGCTGGTGAGGACTTTGGGCAGTTGGTGGCCTCTTTTGAAGTCCGTATGGAAATGTCCTTGCTAGACACCCCCTCCCACTGGTGCCTTGCAAGTAAGAAGAGAGCCCTGCTCCAAGCTAATACTACTCATTACAATTACGCGGTGCTGCTTTTTTTTTTTTTTTTCTTAAGTTAATTGTGGTTTTTCAAGAGAAGATATTCTTTTGGTGTGAATTACAAGCTGGAGACTAACTGCCTCTGCTTGACTGGGATGCTGCTAGACATGTTCGGCACTGGAAGCAGGAATCACAGGCTCGGTAGTTTGGGCTGTAACAAACCTGTGCTTAATGGGTCCGAGGAAGCAAAGGGCACATGGAAGGGCATACTGATGTTGGATATGTCTGGTGAATTTCCTTCAGACATTGCTGATTTGGGCTTTTTAGACCTTTGCTGCTGCGCAGAGTTAATGTAGCGGAAGAGCCAGGGTCAGGTTCATCTTCATCAGCAGAGGCAGCCCAGCAGCACCAGTTCCAGGAGCTGCCTGTGCACTTCACAGGGCCCTTGGGACGAGCGATGTGACCACACGGCATGATCTGGACACATGCCAGTTGAGGAGACCGGCCAAGACCACAAGGACAGGTCTGAATCCCTGAGGGGGAGCTGTGCAGCCTTCCCCTGCTCCCACCGTGCTGGTCCTGGCACACGGATCATGCTGGGAAAGGCACTTCTCCAGCTCCTGTGGAGAAATGGGTGGAACAGGAGTACTTAAGAACCACCGTTTTCGTGCAGCATTTCCTTTTCATGAGACTTTTGCCTTCTAGGCTGAAATCGAACAGGAAATGCCAACTCTTTCAGAATCAGTGCACTCATGATGGCTCGCATAAAACCACTTGTGCGGAGCTAGACCCCAGAGGGCCATGCTAGAAGAAATCCAACAGGCTTCTGGTCCGTCCCTGGGCACAACCATGGGGTGCCATTGATGCTCCCTCATGGGTTGTAGTAAGGGCCTGAGCCCTGCCTGCTGCCTCCCAGCCATTATCCTCCCAGCTGATTATCCATACACATCCCTGGGGGTGCAGATTGAAGCTGAGTCCTAGAGCTAGGGGAACACGGACCCAAGATTTGCCTGCTCTGTGTGCTTATTCCAGGTCAGGCAGAAGCAGCGTCCAGCAGCAAGGAAATCCTTAACTTCCGTTAATAAACACAGCCTTCATCTCCAGCCTCTCTGCCTTGGCAAGTGCCACTTGTCATAATGAAAGTTGCTCGGACTTGGGCAGGGATCAGCCCTGCGAGTTTACGGGATTCACAATTCACAGATGTTAGGAGCTATCAGGCTGAGTGTGGGTGGAGAATGTCAAGTCCGAAATAGCTCCCTGCCACCCTGGCACAGGCAGCAAAGAAAATGTTTCCACATGACATTCTTCGAACCAAAATTTCCTACGAGGAAAGAGCACAAGGGGAAAAATAGGAGGCAATCGCTGCCTTCTCAGAGGGCTTCTGACTTTTGCTCGGGAGGTTGGCATTTGTGCTGACATCAGCACAAAAGATGCACAGTAGGTGAGCTATCGGGCAGCACCCTCCCCTCTCCCCACGCACAAACATACGTGTCTGCTTAAAGACGTGGCCCCGTTGGTGCATAGATATATGCGTGCTATTTTTTCCTGCTGGAATCCATTTTAATTTAGCTCCTGATTCATATTTCATTCATTCTCCAAAACCACAAAACCAGGATAGGTTTACAGCCTGTACTATTTGGACGAGCTGTGGAGGGGGAAAAACAGGGGAATAAAGCAGGTTGCTTTCCTGAATGATCATCTGTGTCATTACAGAAAAAAATAAATAAAAAATGGTGGGGGGAATTAAAGATTCCCTTCTTGGCTTGTAGTTTTCTTCAGGAAGATCTGATTTTCCTTTCACCTTTGGTAGTCTGGTTTAGTGGACTTAATTTTGCTCATGTTTCTTTAGGCTTCAGTGGCTTGAAAAAGACACCATGCTTATTTTCTTTATTTCTTGCTTCTCAGGATCTTTGAAAGTATTGTAATTTTTCATGTGAAAAACATTTATATTATTTTAAGAACACTAACACAAATACCTCAGCTCTCAGTGAAAAGATGCAGAGCAAAGCATTACCAATTACATCAGATGTTTGAGGGATAGGGGAGGCAGGAAGGGGAGGAAGAAGAGCAAAAGTTCAGAGTTAAATTTAAATGAGGAATTTCCCCATATTTTGTCATTCAGCTTTTGAAACTATGACCACAACAGACAGTTTGAACTGTGACAAGAGAGAGACTGAAAAAGAAAATTTCCCCAGGCAGCGTTACGCAGGTATTAGCCACAGAGCTGACCAGGAAAGCTTTTAAAGCACGACAAAATCCGGTGTGGGTGCTGCACCCAGCAGAGGAAACTCCGGCCATCTGGAGACGAGGATGACCATCGGCCACAGCAGTTTGCAAAATCGCAAGAGCTGCCAAAATTAAACCGTGAAGTCAGACAGGAAGGCGACCAATGATCGGCGAGATCAGAAGTTCAGAGATGCCCCAGATGAGCTCCCAACAACAAGTGTGGCCGACGTACTCCCAAGTTTATTAAGGATGTTGAGAGGAGGGGAAAATATCCCCGCAGAAGATGCCCAGCTGGCGAGGAGGGACTGGTGGTGATGCTCGGGTCACTTGATGAATCCCATTGGCCACGTCCCCGGGAGATCCCACCCATCTGCAAGTGCAAAATAAATCTCTAAAGTTGTATCTCGTGTACCACTTGACCTTATTGCTTTTGGCCGGCTGGCTTTATATCTATTTATTTATTATTTTTTTTTGGTTCGGACCCTAAGAGGGGCTGGAAGGAAATGAATTTTGAAGCGGCACCTTTCACCACCCTGCAGTACTACCCCGATCCCTGCATCCAGCGGTGAGTCCCTGAGCGTGACGTAACCCCCTCCTATCGCAGGTTTGATCTCGGTGTCTTGTGTAATTGTTAACTTTCCTGCTATCGTCCGGCGGCAGCTGGGCTGCACGCGGAAAAAATGTGCCGCTCTCTTCATGCTCAGTGGAGCTTATTATTATTTTTGGCTTTCTAACAGGTTACTGTTTAATTATAGGCATCCGCTTAAGATATCAGCCTTTTCCTCTCTGGCGTTAGAGGAAAAAATATATGATAAATAACGTGAAAGCTGATAGTATCTTTTCCCTGTGTTTTGTAGGTGAAGGTTACTCGGTGCTTTGCGACATGCAGGAGTTGCTTTTGCTTTCTATAGTGTGTTTATTTGTTTCTTTAAACGAAAAGCTCATGGAAAGAATATAAGCTTAATTATTAAGCTCTGAGATTTGGGAATTTAAAGGATAAATAAATCATTTAAAAGATGCAGAGAAGAAAAAACATCTCCTAAGAGAAAGCGCTTCTCAAAGAATATTTTTTCACTCCGTTTAACAGCCAATATAGAGCCTGACAACCACTCTTATTTTAGCTTTGTTGTTAAGCTGTGTTTTATAACTTTCCAGCAGATAAAAGAGCATGTCCGCATGAGGTATCACCATATCACATTGTCGGTTTGTTTGTTTCTCCCAATAGGAGCTACTATATTTAAGCATGTAAATGACATGTAGATGGTATTTTTCCAGTCGTAAAGTTCAGAGAGGTGAAATCCTCCGAGTGCAGTCGCTTGTCAAGCTGCTTTAAGGCTACTTTCTGGCTGTGCTTTGCAGAAGCTCTGCCTGGGGTCTCACCACGGCATTCGATCCGTGGAAGGGTTAACTGTTAACTCATCCTCTGCACCGTGCATGTGTTGCATAGCCATCTGCTGAAGAGAGGGCTCGGCCACTCTGATCTCTACTTTTTTTTTTCCTCCCCTGCTATTATGACTTGTCGCAGTGTTGTTGTTTTTCCCCCTTAACGTGCAGGCGCCCGGTGCCACCCTGCGCTCGGCGCTCCTCGGGGCCAGTGGCAGGGAAGGAGAGGAGGGGAGCTGGGACATAGCACGCAGTCCTTGGCTGTGCTGCCACGGTGGAGGAATGTGGAACGGGGCCGGGGGTATTGGTTTCCCCGACGAGACCTTCCACAACACGAACACGGGGCTGCGAGGCCACACACTGCTCTCCCAAACCCACCCGGGAGCTGCATGTGGCCAGGAGGAGAGCAATGCTGGAGCAGCGCCCATCCAGGAGGGCAGATTGGAGATTGGAGCAGTGGGGGTCTTTTATATATTATTTAAACATTGGAAAGCTCAAAGATGCACTAGCAAGGGTACCTGAGCTCTGGGACAGCTTTCCAGATGCTCTGAACTCCATCCCATCCATCCCATCCTGTGTCAAAGAACGGGTTTGTAGAATTGGCATTGCGGCTCAGGCAAAAATCCCATCGGGAGCAGGAATTAAAGAATAAAATTCCCTTGGATGTCCTTTATAGAACTACTGGAATGGGTCTTTCTCACCTTTAAATCTGTATCCTCCAGCTAATCAGGCCTTTCTCTAGAAATGCAGCTCCTTAGCAGCACGAGGGGTTTCTGTGAGTGACCATTGTGCTGTGGGAAGCCTCGGGACAGCTTGGGACAGATAAAGTTTGTGACACCCCTCAGTCATAAAACCTGATCAAGATCTGGCTTAGAGTAACAACATGTCTCAGCTGTTATGCATGTCTGTTTTCATGAACTGAGAGTGGCATTTGTCCAGATATTAGAGGCCATGCTCTGCGTGGTCAAAATCAGCTGGAAGTTGCTCCCTGAAATAATTTTCTCGGTGTGAGGACATTCACACTTTGTGCTTTAAGCTCTGTCAGTTGGATATCTTTCATGATATGCTGGGTGACATTCTTCTGACTGATTTAACAAAATTAAACAGTTTCATAATTGCATTTATTTTACAGTTTGAAACATTTTTGCTTTGATGTGGTCAAAGTGCTTTATTTAGCTAATACTGATGTGCTTCTTTGCAATTCTGGCTGTATGAATATATCTTTCCTTAAAATTATATGTAATAACAACACAAACAGCAAACCTAGAACACTGAGCTGAGGCATGCTGGCAAAAAAGCAGTTGTGAAAAGTGTTTGAAACCCTGTTGAAAAGGGAGGGAGGGAGGGTGGTCGTGCTGACATCCCTGTAGCTCTGTGCCCTGTTCCTGTCCGACCCTGCTGGCTACATGGGCTTCCTTCCATGGTGGAGGTGGCTCTGGGTTATGTGTCCCAGGCTGACTTCTCCAGCAGCCATGAGATGGGATGGAGGGGGAAGAAGTGTGGCTTAGACTTACCCCCTGCCATTGCTTCGTTTATGAATCCCATCACTTTGGGGGTGTTTGGCAGGCAGATGGGCTGGGAGCCAGCTGAAACATTTCCTTTTGTCAAGAGATGAATCCAGTTCACGTTGAGGAGGGTTCACTGATGTGCCATTGTAATGCTTGCATGCTTACTGCCTGTTGTTTCGCCACACTGCATCCAAGCAGTGCAGTAATGCAGTGCCACAGATGAGAAAAAGGATTGGGTGCCTGGACTGGCAGCACTGACTCTTAGGGTTTAGGCAACCCCAGTCCCACTCTCAGCAGTTTCTGCCCCCTCTCTCTCATCTAGGCTATTTATTTCTTTGCAAATGTGTTTATCAAAACAAAAGCACTCACTGCATCACACAAAAGGACAGACAACTTGGCTGGGACATGGGACAAGCAATTTCCTCCTGTATGCACCCTGCTGGGGTTTGGTGCTGGAACTGCACCCAGGTGAGAGGGACACAGGGATACGGGGCACCGATGGGACTTACATCCCTGTGCAGAAATGAGGGGTGCAGGCACATCACGTGGCTGCCTGATGTGAGCTTGGATGGGTACATCCAGACTCAGCTCTGCCTCTAAGCAGAAAGATCTACAAGATGCTAAAACTGAGCAGCAAGAGAATCAGACAAAAACCTCAAAGTTTTTCTGCTTGTTTCCCTTATAAAGGGATTGACATGAAATGCCTGAAATTGGTGATAGAGCAGGCTCAGTGCTCTGACTCCTGACCCCGGGAAGGAGATGCTGTAAGGACAGAGGCACCTGTACTGAAGCCTGACCCCATGAATTGTTGTTCGGATAGTAACGTGGGAGCCAAAGCTCATCCTTTGCTGCAGAAAACCCAGGCTAGCTCTGAGTCATAAAACAACTGATGTGAAACGGGCGGGATTTCCACCTTCCAAGAAGTGCCCACCTAGCTGCAGTTGAAAGACGCTAATGCAAGAAGACGGCACTGTAATTATGATCAAAGTCCAGCTGTTGAGAGCTATGTAATTAGTTTCGCTCTCCAAAGCTGCCTTTTTTTTTTCTTTTCTTTCCTTTTTTGTTTTTCTTTTCTTTTTTTTTTTTCTTCCAGGTAATGCCTGGTTGGGGGAGTGATGTTTACAGATAAGTTACTTGAGTTCTTGGAAATAATGGTCATTAGGCTGTGCTTTGCCCAGAAGCCCCCTCCTTTTGGAGCTGTGGGGAATGCACCTGCTCGTGCTCTGCACGGGGTCCTGCCTGCCCTGTTCACCCCCTCCCCGCGCCCAGGCTAATTTCGGGTTGCCAGTGTTTTGAAGGCATTTGCTGTGGCTCGCTCCTCCCTTCTGAATGAAAGGCCCCTTGCACTAACTACTCTTTCCTCTTTCATTTCTGGTTTTGTGTTCTCAGCGCGATGTGAGCCCAGCCTCCCAAATCTCACTAATAACGGGGCCGTGCGGGAAACTGGATGTCTGAGGCATGGCTCTGGGTTTTGGCTGAGGAGTTGCTAAGAATAAATAAATAAATCAAAAAGAACACAACAATCAAGCAAAGGAGAAAACAAGCAACCGATTATGTAGAAAATCTGGTAGAAGAGAATGAGGGAAAGTGTCAGAAATTAGTTGGGCACGGAAGGAAGGGAAGGGCACAGCAGCATCGTCTGCTGGGTGCTGTATCCAGACAGATTTTGGTGAGCAGGGCCAGAACTCCTGGGTTCAAAAGGGATCTTTCATCAGGAGCCTTGCACGTGTCACTTCACCTTTCTTCTTCAGTTCCCACACCTATCAGACAGGGCTGGCAAACAGATGTCAATTATCAGATAGGAGCCTCGCCAATGTTAACGCTTGCAATGCAGCATAAATGTGAAAAACTCTCTACCTCTCATCAGTGCTGATAGGCAATGCTCTGCTGTCATTAATGATTAGTAATTAAACAGCAGGTTTCCTCCCTTTGGGTTGGAAGGGGGCACGCTCAAGCAATACAAGCAAGCTGCCCCTCCTGATCCCAGGCAGCAGTGAGCAGCTGCGTCCCTTCACAGCCGTGAATCAGTGCTGGTGTCAGCAGCAATCCTTTCCTTTGGGTATTAGCTGGGGTTACTGGGGCAGAGAGGTGTTTAAGCTGTAACAGGTTAATATCTTGCAGGAGGGGTTCATCTCATATGCAGAGCTCCGCAGAGCGCTTGCATTTAGGTAACCAAGTGCTTTTCCTCTTTCCTCTTACTGTGTGATGCTGAATAAAATAACCTAATTCCAGGCATGACAGGGTTGACAAGTCTAATCTGCTGTCACCTTTGAGATGGGAGCCCGGATTTGCCATACTAGCAGAGAGACCTGAAGCCACGTGGCTTCGCATAGGTCTTTTTGCAGAAACAGCCAGTGGTACAGCAGGTACTTTCCAAAGACACAGAGAGGGGCCAGAAACGGTCCTGAGCAGCTCGTGGTGTGTTCAGCATGGTCGGTGACTTCTGGAGGAGCAGGGTTGGCTCTGTACAGGAGGGAAAAGTGGAGGGGAGCTGGGGAGAGGCTTTTTTCTTGGCCTGTGTGCAGGAGGTGGTGGTCACCTGCATGGCTGTGCTCTCACCCCTGGTAGAAATCCTAAGGGGGTTCCCTGGCTGGAGCAGGGGTGCAGGAGGGGGCAGCATGTGGTGTGCAGATTTACAAAACATGGCTCAAGGGCAGCATATTAACTTCATTTC